TAGACTGCAGCAGCCACATCAGGTGGATGTGAAGCTTGTTTGTCAGTACAGTTTTATAAAAATATACTGGCGACATAGTTTCTTCAGTTGAGTTGTTACAACATCTAATGTTAATATGATGATATTTTAATTACCGGGATAATTTTCTCATCCAAAGTGATGTTAAGAGAATGCTGCATCCCGTAAACCCCTATATTCACCCTTGTTTTAAAATCAAATTGCAGTTGCGTTGTCACCCCGAAGAGCTAAAATGGAATGTCTTATTAACAATATGGGCCTCCCTGGTGAGGGATACCAGTAAAGGTCCCCGATTCTCGTCAATCACTATACGAAACACAGCAGCATAATTTTGCAATTTCATTTTGATATTCTGTGCAAACGTGGCCCTTCCTCGGTAAGGCTGACCCATTCGAGTTGTAGCCATAATACGTGATGTAGCGTGGCTGTGGGTCATACAACTTTATTGAGATGCTGTTACTGACGATTTTAGAGGGCAACTTCACCTGGGTATTAAGTCCTGTATGAGGTATATAAGGTCTAGGGTGAACGTTTCAGATTCAGTACCTAATTTAATTTTTGAGTCATTTGCGAAAACTTAATACTTTGGGGCTTAGACCTTCCAGATATTTCGTTTATTATATCTGAATTTAGTTTTCTTTATTAAAAACAAATTATTTCAATAATTTGTCATATTTCGCTTATAAAATGGCAAACTCAACATGTTAAAACAATTAGACGTAGGTATTATAAAATTAACTATAACTAAGAAATAAATAAAAAACTAAATTCAGTTGAGAACCTCAGATGTAGATGAATGACACACGTCAGAGAGTTTGGGGCTTAGTATGGATTTTGTGGTGAATCTTCTCTTATTCAAATTCTGAAAATTGTTTATAGTGGTTCCAAACATCATATAGTGTAACCGTGATTAATGTTGGTAACCCGTGGGTTCAATATAGCCGGCTAACCCGTAGGTTAATGGTGTAGTAGAGCAGATGAACTGTTTTTATATAATTATGACATTTTATCAGTACAACGCAGTTTTTGGTTTGTGAGAATTTTACTATTCATGTCTGTGTTCACCATGCCTACGCATTACATCAATTAGCTTACTATCATCAGTCGGTTATCATGAAAAAGTTACTAGTGCCAAAAAGCCCGTTGCTTTATTCATTGATTTGAAGATATTTCACTTAAGTCAGTGAAAGAAGAGTAAATACGTGCTCCTAATCAGCCAGTGATTCGACTGCTGGAAATGAGTTTGTTTCATAATTTTCAGTTGAATTAGCGGTTGCAGTACTAAACTGATGTTGGATTCTTTTTTAAATACAAATTAATCACATAATTTTTGTTTTCTCTTCTCATTTCTGCTATTTCCATAAAACGTAATAAATTTAAAAAAAATTGTATATTGCAGTACCGTAGAGTAGAAATTTTCACATGAACGCAAATAATATTTGCTTGTATATAAATATAATTAAACAATCCAACACCGTATAGTAAAAATTTCAAATGAACAGAAAATATTATATTTTTTTAATTTAAAAAACGACAACATTTCTATATCAATTGATGTCAGATAGTTTTTTTTTTTTTTTTGGCGGGAACTTCAAACGAGGCGGTCGATTTAATTTTTATATTTATCGTTAAAATATCCTGTTCGGTGTAAATAATTGTACATTTTGTAAATTGTTAAAATGAATGAACCGGAGGATCCAGGTGGAACCCCGAAACGATCCAAAATTGTTCGTAAAAGAGGTACGAAGGAAAGTGGACCTGAAGTAGGCGGCGGTGAGGATGACTTTATTCCGTTTTTTAAGCCAGGTTATCTGAGACTTTATCCTGAACATTGTACAAATACGGACTTCAAAGTTTTTGTTGAAAGCCAGGACAAACAGGTTAAACTTGGAAATAAAAGCCCAGTTTACTTAAATCATATTTTTACTTCGGAGGTGAAAGGTGTGGTAGCTTTACATAGAGTCAATGCCAACAAAATTGCGGTTGTTTTTAAACAATACAACACTGCAAATAATTTCATCACAAATACAGACTTTTTAACAAAGCACAACTTGAAGGCGCATATTCCTGCAGCGCAGATAGAAAAAACTGGAATCATCCGATATGTGCCTACCAACATTTCGAACAAGGAATTATATACGAAACTGTCTTCGATTTATGAAATTATTTCAGTGAGAAGATTCACGAAAAAAGTCGGTCAAAGTACTGTAGGTCTCGAGACGGTCAGTATAACTTTCCTATCAAATGTTCTGCCCGACAACATCCAATATGACCTATTTTCGTTCAGGGTGTTTGAATATGTCCCACCGTTACAACAATGCTTCCGGTGCTTCAAGTTCAACCACCCTGCGAAAATTTGTAATGGTAAACAACGTTGCTCGATATGTGCTGGGGAACATAATTTCAGAGACTGTGATAAAAAAGAAAACCTGTGTTGTGTCAATTGCAGTGGTCCCCACCTGGCCATTTCCAAATCTTGCCCAATAAAAATGAAAAAAATACTTGAAAAAAGGGTAAAATTACTTATGCCTCTGTAGCTAATACAATTAAGTCATCTGATTTTCCGTCTTTACCTGCACAGTCGAGCAGCATTGTTAAGACCCTACCATCAATAAACCAAAATGTACATAAATTAAATAAAAATGTAAAAATTGTAAATAATGTAAATAAAACAGTACCTGAACCCAACTTGAACCAAACTCAACTTAAGACTCAAATTGCAAACAATAAGAATATTTTGATGGCAATGGTCCAAACTTTAGTCGAATTAGGTAATAAAACAGATAATGAACCTGTGACTACACTGTTCATTAAAGACTTACTTTTAAAAAATCTGTCACAATAATGGACAGTACAGTACAGAACATACATCAGTTATGTATAGCTCAGTACAATATTCAAAGTATACATAGGAAAAAATCCTTATTGTCTAAATTTTTAGATGAGCAAAATGTTGATATCTGTCTACTCAATGAAACTTGGCTGAAAGATACTCAGCATTTTAACATTTCGGGATATAATTTCCACTATCATAATGCCCAAAATGAGCATGGTGGAGTAGCAATTTTGATCAAACCGTATTTTAAATATAATATTATTCAAACCAGATTTTACCAAGACATTCAGACTGTGGCATTATTGTTATATGTAAGTGGTAAACAATTAACGATTTTATGTGTATACTGCCCTCCATCGAATGGTAACTTCAGAATAAGTAAACTGCGTGATATAATTAGAGATTTGCCTAAGCCAATATATGTGGCTGGAGATTTCAACGCTCACCATGTGGCATTTGGGTGTATGACCACGAAAAGTCGGGGTCATCAGTTATACGATTTAATTGATGAATTTGATCTATGTGTCCTCAACAATGGTAGCTTCACTACTATTAATTATCCTAACCGAAATCCATCGGCTATTGATGTCAGCTTTTGTAGTGCTTCAATCACTCCACTATGCGAATGGTGGGTGCATGATGATTGTATGGGGAGCTATCATTTTCCTACGCTTACTCGTGTTTCATTGTCAGTTGATAGATACCAAATTAATCCTCCCATTGAAAAATTCCTATACAACAAGACAGACTGGACAAAATACAATGAGCTGTCTATAACTGCTTTTTCTAATTTTGAAGTTAATAATGAGAATCCATTACAGTCATATGATGAATTTATTGAAAGGCTTGATACACTTAGGAGAGATACTGTGCCAAAGTTTGTCAAAGCAAACAACTATCGTTGCAAACCTCCAGCACCTTGGTGGAGTGACACATGTGAACAGAGTGTTATTAAAACTTATGAAGCTTTAAAACTGTACAGAAGAGATCCAACCATTGATAATTACATTAATTACAAAAGACTTAATGCTGTTAAGAAAAAGACTATTTCAGAACATAAACGCAATGGTTGGGCTAACATTTGTAATACTTTTAACAGAACTACACCTGTTAGTATTATTTGGAAATACATCAAGTTATTTAAACGAATAAAATGCAATAATAGAACATATAAAGACGAATTTGTAGTCCCTCTTTTAGACAAATTATCTCGAAATGGATGTAGGGTTATTGATAATCTAGAAAGTTATTTTCAAATTAATAATAGTCTTCAGAAGTCCAGTTTCCTCATAGAACCCTTTACTTGGAGTGAGTTTTGTACAAGTTTACAATCCAGACGAAACACAACCCCTGGTTTAGATAATTGTCCATACATTCTGATCAAAAACCTAAATCAGTCCGTACAAAAGAAACTATTAGCTAATCTTAATGCTCTTTGGCACTTAAAAAAAATTCCTGAATCTTGGAAAACACAGTGTGTAATCCCTCTACTTAAACCTGACAAGCCACCTGAAGATCCTAATTCATATCGTCCTATATCTTTGTCATCTTGTGTTGGAAAGCTTAATGAAAACATGTTAAAGATGCGTCTTGAGTGTTATGTAGAGGCGAACAACATCATTCCACATGTTCAATATGGCTTCCGGAGAGGCAGAAGTTGTGCTGACAGCTTCATCTCTCTCTTGTCAGATCTGAAATATGCCAATAATAATAAAAGTCCAGTGTTTGTGTTTTTCTGGATATTGAAGGTGCGTTTGATAATGTAGATCCTGGCATTTTGGTTCAAGTTCTTTCTGACATTGGTATACCAGGCATACTTTGCCAATGGTTATTTAATTTTTTAATAGATAGAACTTTGTATATAAGGCATAATAATATTCTCCATGGTCCCAGAAGGGTCTCCAAAGGTACAATGCAGGGGGCTACATTATCTCCATTGTTGTACAACATATACACTAGTCAAATTCTTAATTTTGTAAATATAGAAGGTGTAAATATTTTACAATTTGCGGATGATCTTGTAATATATTGTACAGACCATAATGTAGATAGAGCTGTAAATAGTATAAATAATGCTTTAGAGCAATTGTACATATATTATAATGACAAGTTGGCTCTACAGATTAACCCTAACAAAAGCAAGGCCATGATTTTTAGTAAAGATTTTCCCTCTAATGGCATACTCTACAATAATCATCCAATTTCAGTTGTATCTAACCATAAATTCCTGGGTGTTGTCATTGATAACAAACTTTGTTTTAATTTACACATCAATCACATTATAACTAACTCTCTTAAGGGCTTAAATATTATAAGATGTTTAGCTGGTGTGACTTGGGGTGCAGACCCCAAAGTTTTAAGTATGCTATATAAATCTATAGTCAGAAGCCATTTCGACTACAGTTGTTTAGCCTACTCAAATAGTAGTTGTGTAAAAAAACTAGACATAATTCAAAACAAAGCTCTGCGAATTATTTCTGGGGCTATGTGTTCAACTCCCATACGAGCTATGGAAGTTGAAACCAAAATAATGCCACTGTGTCTTAGAAGACTTCTGCTAATAGAGAGATATTTACTAAAGCTGGTATCTGGTAATGATAATGTTCTCAAAAAAATAGTACCTTTTCCTTTACAATGCTCGGTCCAGCAGACTTCGGGAGGTGAGCTTTTACAAGGTTATTTTCCAGTTTTGCCTCTCATTGTACAGCAAATGAATGAAGATTTTAAAAATGTAATTAAACAATCAAAGTGGACATGCTACATATACCCATATTCCTGTATTATATTTGAGACCAATATTGTTACCAAAAATTTTTTTAATAATTGTGAATTATTAAGTTTTATTTCCGACAATAACTACTATACTTTGTATACAGATGGTAGCAAAAGTGAGCTCTTTGTGCGCAGTGCCGTTTATGATTCACAATGCAAGTTTGGTCAAAGTTTTCTTCTGGACCCTAAATGCAGTGTTTTCACTGCAGAGGTATATGCGGCCCTCGAGGCCCTGAAGAGGATTGCACATATAAATAGTTTTAATAATTTTTTAATTTTAACAGACAGTTTAAGTATGGTCCAAAGTTTAACTAATCTCAGATTTGACTTTAAAAAAAACTATATTTTGTATAATATTAAACAATTGTTATTTAGTTATGCAAAAAAGGGTATACAGGTCTCTTTCATGTGGATTCCATCACATAGGGGCATAACAGGAAATGAGATAGTAGATAAAATTGCACGTGATGGAACCAACATGTTGGATGTTAGCTCCATAGTAAAAGTACCTTTGACCGACTGTTATCAATCTATTGACAACCAGGTCAATAGCTTATGGGTCGAATTTTGGAAACAAGATCAAGAACAGAAGGGTAAATGGTATGGAACTGTTCAAGAAAAACTACCTGTAGCACCATGGTATAACAAACTGAAAATGGCCAGTCGGGACTTTGTTACCACTATAAATAGACTGCGCTTTGGTCACTCCACCGTCCCGGCCCACCTGGCTCGATTGGGCATAGTGGAGAGCAGTTACTGCACCTTCTGCAATAATTCTGTTGGTGATATCGAACATTTCATATTTACATGTGAGTGCTTTTCATTTGACAGATTGATTCTTGTCAGTGAAATTAGTGACATAGTGCAAAATCAAGTGACAGTGCAAGATCCCTCCCGCCGCCTGAGTGATATGCAAAGAGTATAATAAGTATATACAGGAAAAGAGAGCCCTCTGACGATATTTTATTGCAGACCAAATTGAACTACTAGCGTCTCCTACAAATTGAATCCGAACTAATTCGCTATATATAGCTATATTATGTACATCATATTAATGTAACTATTATGTTCTTTAATTCGCATACTTACTGAAACAATTTTTACTTTTTTTTGTAAAATAATTTATACTTTTAATATTAAAAGTAGGTAAATAGTTTCAATAAGTACACTTGTATTTGTGAGATAATAATATATAAAAAGGGTATTTGCGATGTTACAGGAATGACAATTTAATATGACAATTATTTCATTTTTTATTTTTATTTTTTATTATAAAATGCTGGTTGCCAGTATCATAATTGTCATATTTATCGATTGATTCGATAACTATTACGTGTTTTTATGTTAAAATTATAATTTTTTATCAATAAAATCACCAATAATTTTTTGGTGCACTTATTTTTATTTTGTAAGTAAATTTCATTTTATTTTTCCAAAGTAGCGACATCTGTGAAGCCATAAGACCAACTATAAACAAATTATTTTTGGAAACAAGTTATGGATGGCGCCACCATCCATTAAATTTTTGTGGTTCAAGGCAACTGTCCTACGCCTGGTGATATGTTAAAAAATAGATCCTATTACGTGCCTCTATATAAATTCATCAAAAATACAGTGGGGAAATTATAATAAACCGAATAAAAATACTCAAGACTTGGCCTAAAGGTCTAGATGCCAGGCCATAAACTCCAAAAAAAAAATGATGTCAGATAAAGTAAATTTGATTTTGACATAGAGTTTTGACATTGGTATTTGTCAAGTGAAGTAAACAATAAACAGTCAAGAGTCAACACTAAACAGCCAACACTAGAGAAAAAGAAAACTGAAAAATTTGAAATTCAAAAGATATGGAATGATTAGTTGGTTTTGCCTGAACCTTTTATTTAATTTAAATTAAACTCTTTGGTTTGTTTATGTTTATTGATTTGTTTATGTTGTTGCTGTGTTTAAATATTTTACTTAAATATTAATTAATGGATGAATTACGAGGACCGAATATTCAAATAGTCCTTCACGTGAAGGAAGGCAAGTAATATTGTTAAAAAATATTTATTAATCTAAATGAAATATGATGAAGTTTATAAAAGGGGATTTTCAGGACTTGGATTTGGTTTCCTGCGAATACCATTTGTAGTCAGTGGCTCACTAAATGGGTATGTACTTGAAACGGACCCTGTGGTGCCAACTCATGCACCAGCTTTTGATGCCGAGTTAGTTTGGGAAGCTGATAAGAGAAGATTTCGAAGGTGAATGTTCTATACATTTCCTAAGTGAAAATTGTATTAATAAATTAATAATTAATATTATAATAAATATTTAGGTATTTGCAATTTATGAGATTTTATAGCAGTTCATATTTAAGTTCAATCTAGAAATCTTCGTATTATATACATACTCTATCTGACAAATAAGGAAAAAAATTCTAAAACCAAAAATTTTATTGCTAAATTGTAGAAAAGTATAGTGTGTTTCTAGGGTAGGTGGAAAAACGTACATTGACCTAAAGTATTATGTTAACACCAAAACAAAACGACAGGTATTGCTTCCATACATTTCATTATCGATTACATATCATTATGCGCAAAGCGTGTTTCATGATACGGGGTGAGGTGAAGGAAGCAGTCATTCAGAGATAACAAACCTAAACCGAAACAAAACCACTTTTAAAATGGCAGATGTCAAAACACTATAATATGAGAAGGGCTATACAATATTGAGCATATAAAGTGGAAAAACTGCATTAACCACATCATAAAAGAAGAAAACAAATTAAATTAATTGGATAATGCCATTGATAAAACTGTAGATAGTTTTATAATCAATGTGGTGAACTTTTCCACGTCTTTATCATCAGAAAGTGTCTCTGATAATCTATTATGAGAAGTTATATGCATGCTTCAAGGTTGACTGCTAAAGAATGCATTAAAAGTTAGGCATTTTATCCGACTACCAAGAAGAGGTGTTTGTACAACTACCTACCTACCTACTTATTACACTACTTACCTTCTGTTAATGTAATAATTAAATTTGTATTAACTCTTATGGTTTATAAATAATAAATATAAATTAATGTTAATTTGCTTTTTAATTCATATAAGTACAGGATAATCTTCTTTCTTCATAATAAAATAATTGACACAGGACCTGCAAAGAACTTCACACTCGGCACTCTTATCTTTCACTCTGATGATGTATGTAATGATACAAGGATAAAAAGATAAAACCTAAGAAAAACGTTGGCTACCGCAATGATGTTGTCAAAGGTCAATGTACGTTTTTCCGCCTGCTCTAGAAACATACTATAGTTATCTATTATCATATAATATCTACCATAAAAAATTAAATAGATGTACCTACGTTTTGGTTGCACTTGAATTTTTGCCCTTTAATGCAACTTTCTGTGGCTGTGAGTTGTGGTATCTCAGGGTATAAATATCATAGCATGCAAACAACCTGGGTTGATTCCCTATTGGAACCAATGACATTGTTTAATGCAGTTTTATGTGTAAGTGAGGTGTCGACTCAGCGCTCATCAATTTGTTTAGCTTATATGATGATTTGATGAGTATGGATAAATTTCTCCAGAAATGCATAATTTAAGCAATATCATAATTAAAGTCTATATCTAGGGGTATATTCTTAAGGCTTATTAGGAGAGTGTTGTAATTATTATTTGTATTGTGGGTATTTTAAATTCAACTAAGAGATATGCCAGGCATATCTTAAAGTAATTAACGGATGGTTGAGTAAGTTTTACTAACTTTTTTAGCTATTATAGCCAGAACAATGGCATGACTAGAGTATGAGTGTATGTAACAAGTATACACACATCTCCGTTCACATTTTTACAATTTTTTAAACTTTGGATTTATGTGTCACTATAATGTTGTGAAAAATTGTGTTGGTAAAGACATCAATTTTCAAATGTTATATTAATATGGTATTTTCAATTCATGTTAAAACATTGTAAGATTGGATATTTACAAGATATTTATGTAGACATAATGTAAAAAATATGATTTTTTAGTGATGTTTTCTTTATGCGAGAGGGGGCAAACAAGCATGCGGCTCACCTGATGGTAAGTGACTACCGCTGTCCATGAACAACCAGGGGAATTACAGATGCGTTGCCGGCCTTTTCAAAAGGAGTAGGCTCTTTTCCTGAAGGTTGTTAAGTCGTATCGGTCTGGAAAAACCACTGGTGGTAGTAGATTCCACAAGGAAGTTGTGCGAGGAAGAAAACCTCGTGTAAATGGTACAGTGGTGGATCATCCAGATGCTACGGATTATCGGGATAGTATCGGGAGTTTTGTTGCTATGCGCAATGGTGAAATTGAGCAGCTGGAATTAGTCTGAACAAATCCTCGGAGGACAAATCCTTGTAGATGCAATAAAATGCAACATCTCTTCACAGTGCCAGTGCGACAAGCCGATCAGAAAGAGCTCGGTCGCCGACGATTCGAACCGCTCTGCACTGGATGCGATCAAATGGAAGGAGCTAGCTCTGGGGAGCCCCAGCCCAGATATAGGAACAGTATTCCATTTGAGGCCGAACCTGCGCATTGTAAAGTAGCAAGCGGTGTGCTGGCGTGAAATACTACCCTGCTCTACTGAGCACGCCAAGCCTTTTAGAGGCCAATTTGACCGTCTCTTCTAAGTAACCACGTAACTGCATGTCACTCGATATGTCGACGCCGAGGACTCCGATACTAGCTGAGGTAACAAGGGGAGTGCCTTGAAACTGAGGAGATACTACAAAGAGGTTCTTTTTAGCGGTAAACGCGCAAACTTGTGTCTTCTGGGGATTGAACTAAACTAGATTTAGTTGCCCCCAGTCCGAGACTGTTCGACTAAGTATCGACTTCAGACCCAAGTTTGTTCCGGTACTCTGCGACGTTTTCCCGAGAAATATTGACACGGCCGGTGTATATAGCATCACCAGTGCTGTCGTCCGCATAGCATTGAATGTTACCGGTTTGTAACATATCATTGATATGCAGAAGAAACAGCGTTGGTGATAGCACGCAGTATCTCCTCAGTTTCAAGGCACTCCCCTTCTTGCCTCAGCCAGTATCGGTATCCTCGGAGTCGACATATCGAGTGACGTGCAGTTTCGTGGTCACTTGGAAGAGAAGGCCAAATTGGCCTCTAAAAAGCTTGGCGTGCTCAGCAGAGCGGGACAGTATTTCATGCCGGCACACCGCCTGCAACTTTACAAGGCGCAGGTTCGGCCTCACATGGAATACTGTTCCCATCTCTGGGCAGGGGCTCCCCAGTGCCAGCTCCTTCCACTTGACCGCATCCAGCGCAGAGCGGCTCGAATCGTCGACGACCGAGCCCTTTCCGATCGGCTCGATTCATTGGCACTGCGAAGAGATGTTGCATCTCTTTGCATTTTCTTTCGCATCTACCATGGGGAGTGCTCTGAGGAATTGTTCGGATTAATCCCAGCCGCCAAATTTCATGAACGCACATCGCGGCAGAACTCCCGATACCATCCACACCATCTGGATGATTGGCGGTCCACCACTGTGCGATTTAGAAGATGTTTTCTTCCTCGCACGACTTCCTTGTGGAATCGATTACCATCAGCGATTTTTCCGGACCGATATGACTTAGGGACCTTCAAGAAAAGAGCCTACTCCTTTTTAAAAGGCCGGCAACGCATCTGCAATTCCCCTGGTGTTGCGGTTGTTCATGGGCGGCGGTAGTCACTTACCATCAGGTGAGCCGCATGCTCGTTTGCCCCCTCTCCTATAAAAAAAAAAAAAAAAAAAACACCAGCGTTAATGGACTTGTAATCGGAGCATGCACCTTCTACTTCGATCTTGATGCTCCGATCTGCAAGAAAACTGGTGATTTAACGGCACAATTTCACGTGTTACCGTAGGAAGTCGAACTAGTTTCTTGCCAATTCTGCCGATGTGCTCTGACTTTGCCTTGGCAATGACACTTTTGAAGGACCTGGAGGCGGAATTATACTTCTTTATAAGAGTGTTGGTGTTTGCATCCTGAGACGTTGATGCGTCAGCCCACGCCCGCTAGCACTACTGCTTATGGCGTGATGCAAGTTTACAAGAGTGACCAAACCATGGCCGAGTTCTGCCTCCGATAGGTACCACAGATGGAATAAATAGTTCCATTCCCTGCTTAGTAGAATAATGTTGAATGACAAATTTTTAAACTTGCTGCAAAATTAACTAATGAAAATGTTGTTGCTGTTCTCATCCGTATCAATTTTCTTCTTAAGTGAAAACTTTTTAGGATCATTGTAATTTGAAACTCAATGAGACGAAAAAGTGACAACAATGATTTAGCCTGCAAGAAAATTAGATAGAATACAGTATACAGTGTTTCTCGTTATCTCAGTCTCCTTTTCTGAAGGTTTCACTACTACTGAGTGTGAACTGCTCACGTTTTAATTTGAATCAAAGTAAAAAAAAAATATGTATATTGGAAGTGATTACTTACATTGATCACTTTGAATTTACATACATTAGTATTAGCCGAGAATGAGAATAAAATCCTTAAATTTTCTTTCAGTCTCCGCGTTCAAAATGTTCCTATCAAGGTGGAAGTGTTTACGACTGGTACTCAAGGGAGGAAGGACAAAGTAGGATATATCTTGCTTAGCCTACTTGGAGCACAACCATGTCCATCAAATAAAATTTTTGATGTAAGTTAAAAAGGAACTTTATAATCAGTTAACTGCATCTTAGTAGCTTGCTTCTTAAAAGGCCTATTACATTACACGATTTCTTGGGGTCGAGTCAGGGTAGTGTACTAAGAAACAGGGAGTCAGGGTCCCTAAACAGGACGACCTAGTGGTTTCGACCGCCCTGCTTCCCTGCCGCGCTATAGATCGTGTAGTGTAATAAGACTAAGAGACAGAGAGGAAGGGAGCTCAGTTGCGTGGTCGCAAGCGCAAAGTTTACATTTCTGTCCGTTTATTATTTAAAGTTCTGGTGCGTCGATCTACTCTCTTAAATCATTGCTCGTAACTATCTCGTACGCTAAAGAAAAAGATGACCTCAATGTCATTGACATCTACAGAGACATGCCTTATCTTTGGAGGAAAGAGCACAAGGACTATTCCAATAAAGAAATAAGAAGCGAAGGCTTTAAAGTACTTGTACAAATTTATATGGTTTATGTGGGCAACAGGCGACGCTAATGTAAAAAAATATAGTGGACTTGAATTTTAAAAGCCGTATGACCTCAAAATAATAATAAGCAATAAATGTATCGTAGTTTTTAAAATATAAACTATTGGTAAATTATTGTGCATGCCTTAAGCGCATTAAAAAATTACGTATAACATGATTATACTTAAATTTTTAAAGTACATAGTTTAATTACACACAAGTTTTGACTAAAAACCTTATACGAGGGGCACACTGAAATGATCGGGAATAAGAAAAACCACATGCACGGTATAGCTAAATTGTATTTTATTGTTTTTCGAAGTATTCTCCGTTCAACTTAATGCACTTTTCCATTCGTGCAAACCAATCATTAAAACAGTAATTCCAGTCTGAATTTGATGTTGTCAAAATGGCTGATTTGTACGCTTCCACAGCTGCTTCGGGGTCTTCAAACCGTTGACCGCGTAATAAATATTTCATTCTAGGGAATGTAAAGAAATCGTTTGGGCTCAGGTCAGGACTGTACGGAGGATGGCTCATCAGCTCAACGTTTTCCTGCTTCAAAAAATCATTTGTCTTCCGAGCCGTATGGAAGCTCGCATTATCGTGATGTAAGATGGCGACGTTTCGGGTTATTTTTTTAGAGTTCGGCTATCATTTCTGGCAAACAAACCGTGATATACCACTCAGCGGTAACCGTCCTGCGTTCCTGTAAATGAATTGTAGCAACATGCCCCTTTTTCGAGACAAACGTAGCGACCATTTTCTTTGACACGCTGTGGGAGAGAACCACTTTCGTTGGTTTGACCTCGTCTTCGAAGACCCAAACTGCTGACTGATGATTTCTTTCAGGTTTGTATGAATAAATCCATGATTCGTGCACCTGAGCATTTGACTTCCCTCCGTTGAAGCGTTGCAGAGTATTCCCGCACCAATCTACACGAGCCGCCTTATGCTCTTCGGACAAATTGTGGGGAACCCAGCGGGAAACTAGCTTTCTTACACACAGCTCATTATGTAATATCGAACGAATTGCAGTCATTCCAATACTTATAACGGCCCGAATCTGCTCGTATGTCACATGACGGTCATCTAATATAATAGTTCGCACAGCTGCGATGTTTTCAGGCGTGACCGCTGTTTTTGGTCGACCTGCAGAAGAAACAATGCTGAGCGACACACGACCGCGTCGGAACTCGGCATACCAGCGGTATATTGTCGTTTGACTCGGTGCTTCAACATCATAAATCGAAATAAGTTCGCTGAGACATTTATCTTGAGATAAGCCTTGAGAAATGTTCACGCGTGAGCTCCATTTCTGTTAATGACGTGTTGACTTTAAACCAACACAGTTTATGTTTTTAAACATTATTTTTTAATTGTTTGAATGTCATTAAGATTCTAAGAGGCCAGTATTCAAATTCTAAAAAGGTTTTATTGTAACTCAATCCGAATTATTCTATTCCCGATCATTTCAGTGTGCCCCTCGTAATTATACTATACTTCCAATTTTCCGATAACTTTGTGTCAAATTTCAATTTAAAAAAAAGCTTGAAAATCCAAAATTGCACAAGTCATAAGATCGTGAAATTCTATTCGTCAAAGAGTTCCAGTAGCAGTCACCGAAGTACACCTTCAAGTCACTCCATCAACTCCGGAGGTAAGGTCAATTCATAACTAACAAAATGAGGCCATACTCTGCACACCAAGTTCTACTGTTCGAGGAGTTCCAGTGGCATTCACCGAATCACACCTTCAGGTCACTATCAAGTCCGGAGGTAAGGTCTCATTATAACTAACATAACAAGCACAATCTCGGTACACCTAGTTCTATTCGTCGAGGAGTTCCAGTAGCAGATACCGAAATACACCCCTCAGGTTACTCCATAAAGGCCAAGACGTATAATTATATTTATATATAAATCCTACGTACTTTTAGCGAAACACAATATTGTAATAAAAATCTGTAATTATAAAAATAATAACCTTGGTCAAGTATGTATGAAATTTGGTTTTTGAAGTACGTAAGTACATTATACTTCAATGTTTTTGAAATATTTTGTATTTCTACAGCGATCGATATTCTTGATGCCTATTACCGCTGCTGGATGCATACATGTATGGATACAGTAATCCACTCACGACAGCGGCCGAGCCCGAAGTGCGAGTGAGCTGTGAGGCAAAGTGTATTTAGTAAAATAAATTATTACAAAGCTGCTTAAAACACCGAAAATTTCAGCATTTCTCTGTCGAAAAACATAAATTATAACTAAACAAAACAAAATTAAACTGGTATTTACATTCAATGGATGAAGAGATTAAAAATAGATGGAGTTAAACAATTCATATTTTCAAAAGTTGTTGTGTTTACCTCCATTCGAACATGATAAATCTACACCATAAGCCACTAAAACCGCTTTTTATGTAAAAATAGCAATTAATGAATTAAAAAAATAATAATAAGTCCAACAATCATTTATCTTTCTGGCAATGTGTATATGTTCAATATGATTGTTTGATACGATTTCATGCGAAAAAACGTTGGAATCTTGATTTTTAGGCGCTAGTAGAACATACGAGGGCGACACTGAAAGTTTTTAGAACTGAACAAATTTTGAAAATGGAACCCTTTGCCAATAATCTTGTGTATATATTTTATTAATTTGTCATTTGTTTACGATTTGGCGGCAAATTGAAAATGGTCTGTGTTACGTCAGCATGAATTTAATGCGAGGAAATTTTTGTACAATGATTTTTTATGACTTTCGATGTCATTTAAGTCAACAAGAAAGTTGTGTAAAGACTTCGATTAGCCTTTCACGATTAAGCCCCATTTCGTGCCACTGTTTACAATTGGTTTAACGAGTTTAAACGTGGTCGCACTAATCTCACCAATGATCTGCGTGACGACGGCCTTCTACGGTGACGACAAGATAACATCAGTGTTGTGCGGCGTATAGAGACTGACAAAAGAGTGACTTATCAGCAGATTCTGACAAGCTTAGGCATGGGTATGAGACAAATGCACAAAATCCTCCATGAACATTTAGCGGTCAGGAAGCTTTGTGCCCGGTGGATACCTCATAATTTGACAGAGGCCCAAAAACTCCGTCGTGTTGATTGATGTCGTGAAATGGTTCAAAGATTTAACGGAAGTGACGCAAATGCTGTGTTCAACATACTTACGGGTGACGAAAGCTGGATTTATTGTAATTATCCTGAAACTAAGAGACAGTCTGCTGTCTGGGTGTTTCCTTCCGAGGGTTTGTCAACTAAAGTGAAGAGAGGTCGAAGCGCGGGAAAAAAGATGGTGACCTCGTTTTACGGAAGGACAAATCATTACGCAACAATTGTTTTAGAGGATCGAAAAACAGTTACTGCAATGTAGTACACTAACAATTGCTTGCCACTTGTCTTGGAATAAGTTCGAGAGAAACGACCTCGCAGTACCTCCTTCATCACGATAACGCCTCGTCGCACACCGCCAAGCAAACAATCGACTACTTGGCGACGTTAGACGTGGAATTACTGGGTCACCCTACAGCCCAGACCTCGCATATTGCGATTTTATTTATTTCCGAAAATAAAAGAAAAACTTCGAGGAAAACGTTTTATGGACGCCGAAGAAGCAGTGGCTGCATTTCAAAATGCCGTCGAAGAGACCCCTAAGGACGAGTGAGCAGTGCTTTTTTCAGTGGTTCCATCGCTTAACGCATTTAACGGTGGTAGAGCCACGCAGCAGTTTTTGCTGTTGCACGTATGGGCCGGCTCGAGCCGGGTTGGTACCACGACCTCACAGAATAACCGCGTGGAGTAGAAGCTCTGCTTCTGCGTTTCGTCTGGTGAGTGCAGGTGGCCTGAGACCCAATTCCGCCCCCCCCATCAACATGGTAGCGGAATTACACGATAGACTACCCCAGGAGGGTACCAGTACCCCTGGAGAATCCCTCGCTGAGCATCCACGACCATGTTATTCCGATCCTGAGTGTGGGTGCTCAGGCTGCCCCGCGTATTCTGGGGGGGGGGGGGGCAAAATTCCGCTCAAAAACATAACTGCTCGGGGCAAACTGAGCAAGAACACCAAGGCGACCCCAGCCACGCTATCCGTGAATTTCTGCAACATCAGGGGACTTCACTCTAACCTAAACGCCGTCCACTACTATCTCGAGACGGCGAAGCCGGCCTTGCTCTTTCTGACCGAGACGCAGGTTTCCTCTCCGGCTGATAATTCGTATCTCTCCCACCCGGGGTACAAATTGGAGCATTCCTTTGTGCCTCGGGCTGGAGTTTGCGTGTATGTCAAGAGAGGACATCTGTTCTCGACGCCTCGGCAGTCTTGAAGGTTCGGACCTGTCCATCCTTTGGCTACGCGTAGACAGCGACGACCATCCGCGCGTCTACGGGTGCCTCTATAGGTCCCATAGCGGTAATGCCGAAACAGACCGACTCATTGACCACGTCCAAATGGCTACAGATTCCTTGCTACAACAGGTCCCATCTGCAGAGATCGTGATCCTTGGCGATTTTAACG